AGACCCCCAACACTCCCACCCTGTGCCTGGGATTGCTGTTCAAATCCTCCTGGAGCTCTGGCCAACTTGGGGCAGTGCCCCAGCACCCTCATGGGAAAAATACCTTCTCCTGATACCAACCTAAACCTCCCCTGACACAGCTTCATATAGTTAGTATGCTGTATTTCCCCAGCCCATCCCGCTTTCCCAGGCTGGAACAGCGTTACCACATTCCCTCATATCACAGCAGGGATGGAAATCTCACCTGCAGATCTCGGTGCTCCCTCAGGGAACATCCACCAGACTCTTGCTGCTCCACTCCCCAGGCAGGAGCTGCAGAGGGCACAGGTCAAGGGCACTGGTGGAACCTCACCTTTACAGTCAGGGCCAAAGCCAGAGAGCTGGACTGCACAATTCCTATCCAGAATGTGCCTGGCTGTGCCAGGTGAGGCTCAGCTTGGACATCAGGAGGAATTTCTTCATGGAAAGGGTGGACAGGCATTGGCAGGGGCTGCTCAGGGAGATCTGGAATCCCCATCCCTGGAGGTGTCCAAGGAAGGACTGGAGGTGGCACTCAGCGCTCTCGGCTGGGGACAAGGTGGGGATCAGACACTGGTTGGACGTCTTTTCCAACTAAAGGATTCTGTGATTCTCCTATGATTTTGTGAAAGGAAGGAAGCTGGCTGAAAGGAGATGTTTGGGTAGGAACCACAGGCAGTGCAGAGCACAGTGAGGTTCCAATCAGGACTGAATCCAATCCTTGCTCTCACTGACAAACAAAACCACAGCACCCAGTAATGGAGCTCCATTCCTGTGGGAATCTTGGGGTGGAAAGGACAGAGCAAGGAATGAGCAAAACACACAGCCCAGAGTGTGAGGCGGGGGGCTAGGAGGTGCTCACACTGCCCTTCCCAACACTGACCTTCCATGCGATCCACAAAGAGCCGCTTCAGGCTCTGGTAGATCCCGATCTTGATGGTGCCGTAGGACGCCTGTCTCAGCAGTGCCGGGGCGATCCTGAGGGGGATGGACCCTGAGCATCCCTGCAGGCTACCCCGGGCCACTCCCCCACCCGTCCTCACACTGCCGGGCCAGGCACGACCCCGCTGGGGCTCCGAAGAATGCAGCTCTGCCCGGGTTATCCGGGATTGCCCCACACACCCCAGTGCCAGGGGACGGCACCCACGCAGCCCTGGCCTTGCTCCCTGCCTTGGGAAAACCGGGGGACCCCGCTCGGGGGGACAGAGCAGGGAGGGATCCAGGGGGTCACAGCAGCATGCAGGAAACGAGGGGCCGGGATGGGCAGAGAGCAAGGGAGTGAAGGGATGCCGTGAGAGAAGGTGGAAGAGGGGACTCGGGCTGGGGAGGGGGTGCCGGGACAGAGGCAGGGCAGGGCCGGGGTGGACAGAGGGGAAGAACCCGGGTTGGCGGGGCAGACCCGGGAAAGGCAGGGGGAGATGTCGGGGGGTGGGAGAGGTCCCTGGGGCGGGCAGAGGGAGATGTCGGGATGGAGGGGGAACCTGGGACGGGCTGGTGGGGGCGAACATGACAGACGGGGCGATGCTGCAGCCGAAGAGGGAGCCCAGCACAGGCGGTGGGAGCTCCTGAGCCAGAGGGGAAGGACCCGGGGCAGGCGGCGGGGAGGCCCGGGGGGCTGCAAGGAGGCGCCGGGCCGGGTGGAGAACCCGCTGCAGATGGGTGTGTGTCCCGGTACGGACGGATGGGGCGCCGGGGGAAGCGGGACGCGCTGCCGATGGGCCCCGTTGGGCCGGCCCCGGTACTCACCCCGAGTACAGGGCCCGCCCGCCCTCCTCGCGGCAGATGCGGAACAGCGCGTGGAACATGCCCCGGTAGCGCACCTCGCGGAACCGCGCGTCGGTGCTCTGCCCCTGCACCTGCAGCCGCGTCTTGGTGAGGTCCACGGGGAACGTGCCTGCGGGGAGAGCGGGACACCGGCCTCAGCGCCCGCCGGTCCCTGCGCCGGCCCCGCCCGTCCCGGTGCCGCCCGGCCCCCGCGCCTCACCGAACTCGGCCACGATGGAGGCGAGCCCGCCATACACGAAGGGTTTCCAGTTGAGCGCGGACATCGCATGGCGGGCGGACACCGCCGCGCGCGCCGCCGCCACCGGGCCGGGACCGGAACCGGAACCGCGGCCGGAACCGGGCTCTGCTCCGCCGCGCCGCGCGTGCCCCCTGCCGGCCCCGGCGGCGCCGTGCCGGGACGGTGCGAGCCGCGGGGGCTGCCCGCGCCCCAGCCCCGCCGCACGGCCCTCGGCTGCGCGGAGCGGTCCCGGCTTCTCCGGGCAGGAAATTCCCACTTGCGCCCAGAACCGGCACGGAGCCGGACCGCAGGGATTACTCGTTATAGGAACCAAATCCAGCTAAAGCCCCTCCCTTGTCCACCCTGCGAATCCCACGCTCCATCGCTCCGTTTTCCAGCCAAATAAGCCCAAAATAAGCGTAACAAAAAACAGGTGACACCTCCTTCCTGGCCCACAGACAGGAACACTGCTCCCGGGACCAGCTTCTCCCTAACAGGAACTTTTATTAAGAAACCTTTAAACAAATCCATGATAAATCACCCCAACACAGTGATGCAGTGCTATGGATACATCGTGGAATCCAGAAGATGCTGGGTGGGCACAGAGCCCAAACCCGGCCCACGAGGCCAGACAAGACCCCCAGCAGCCTCTACATCCAGTGCGAGGCGACACAGCCCCAGGGGAGTTAGGGAAGGGGAGCGCCCTGCTTCTCCCAGCCTTCACTGCTTGACACCCTCCCCAATTTAAGGACGAACCCCTGTCCCAGCCAGCAGCACGGGCAGCGTGGAGAGCCCTGGCCGTGGGATGATGGGCAAGGGCAAGCTCCCAGGTGAAAGGTCCAGCCATGGCATCCCAGGAGCCTGGAGCAGGTTTGGGCAGGCTCGGAGCCTCCCTCACCCTCAACGCTCACCCAGGGCTCAGCAGCGACCAGAGTCTCTGCCAGAGCCCCGCTCCCTGTGCCTGGAATGGGGCTCCCGAGATCTGCCTCCCCTGGGGGACGCGTCTTGCCGGCTGCTGTGCCCATCGCCCCTCCTGCCAGCCTCCTCCCTCTTCTCCCGCTCATCCCAGGAGCCGCTCTGGCCCCTTTGCTCGCGGCAGCTCTTGTCCCCCCTGCTGTCCGAGTGCCGCTGGTGCCGCCGCTGCTCCTCATCCCGCTGCGTCCTGCTCCCGGCGCTGCCGCCGGCATAGCGCTCGTACCCGGGGTCCTCCTTCTCCTTCTTGATCTTGATCCTGGGATGGGGCTCCTCCGTGCTCACCCGCTTCCCAGCCTGTGGGCTCGACTTTGACCGTTCTGCTCTGCTCCGCTGCTTCTCTGGAACTAGGGTTCACACTTCGGGATGGACCAAGCTCCAGGAGCAGCTTGCTCCCCATGGCTCCCCTGGCACCATCCCAACTCATCTTCTACTAGAAATTCTCCCCCTCCACCCAATTTCCCAGCCTGCTTCCCCCTCAGGGAGATCCCAGTTCACTTCCAATCACAACTTTTTCTCATCCAGCTGCAGCCACCCCACTTTTCTCTTTAACATTCACATCATGCTCTTCCCAGCAACGCTGGGCATTTCCACACCACCTGGAATGCTGAGAACTTCCAACTTCCCTTTCATTCCCTTTCCTCAGTAATACTGTGATCCACTTTGTGGAAATTACCTCTCCAGACCCAAGGACTCTTCCTTCATGGCTCTCCTTCTTCTCCCTCATTTTTGAGCATCTCCCCAGCACTCTGTAGCAACACCTTATTCCCACCCTCATTTTGTGCCCGTTTTTGTTCCTCCAACCTTCTCTCTATGCAGACTCCAGCCCCCAAACCCTACCATGGGCACGCCCACCTGGGATCCAGCCCGTCAGGAACACTCTTCACCTTTCTGCTTTTTCACGGGCACATCCTCATCCTCAGACGCGGAGTCAGAAGAGGTGTGAGGTGGCGTTTTGACCCCGCAGCCCTTGGCATGGAGGGCTCTAGTCACGTCATCCCAGTCCTCAGACTCCTTCGGGGGGCGGTAGTTGGCCACGTGGTCCACGCGGATGGTCCGTCCCTTGATCTGCGGGGCCGGGCCGTCACCGCCGGCTCGCGGCTCCCAGGGCCGCTGCCGACGCGAGGGAGCACTCGGGGAGCCAGGGCACCACCTGAGCTCCACTCACCTTGATCCCATTGAAGTTATCCACAGCCAGGATGGTGCTTCTCTGGTCCTCATAGCACAGGAAGCAGAAGCCCTTGGACTTCCCGGTCTTCTTGTCGCGCACGAGGTTGATGTTGACGATCTCGCCGTACCTGTGACACACACCCCGTCAGCACGGCGGCAGCGCCCGCGGCGGCGGGGCCGGGGCTGCGGCACTTACTGCGAGAACACGCAGATGACATCGCCCTCGGTCAGCGCGTAGTGCAGCCCGCCTGCGGGGACAGCGGAGGGAAGGAACGGGTCAACAGCACCAGCACCAGCACCGGCACCGGCCCCGCACCGGTACCGGCCCCGGCCCCTAGCCCGGCCCGTACCCACAAAGATCCAAGCGCTGTCCTTGTACTCCGCGTGCCACGACACCGCCTCCTGCACGCCCAGCTCCGCCTCCCGCGCGTTCAGCTCATTGATCAGCTTCACCTTCGTCAGGGGGCTGCGGGCGAAGCACCATCAGCACCGGCACGGGCGGGACAGGGCCGAGCGCGGCCCGAGCCCCACGCCCCCACACCTACTTCATGGCGGCGGCAGCGCGCACTGCGCCTGCGCGCGGCGGCGCCCCGCCCCGAGCCGAGACGGACGTAGGCGGGAGCAGCCGAGTCGACCGATTATAGCCGAGTGGGGCCGAGTCCGGCCGATTGTAACCGAGTCAGGGCAATAATTACCGAGATAGCCCGAGCACGGCCGAACAGGGCCGATTGCAGCCGAACCGCGCCGATTTTTGTAGCCGAACCGAGCCGATTGTGGCCGAGCCGGTCAGAGGCGATGGCGGCCGCCCGGGCTGAGGCGCAAAGCAAGAGGCGGAGCGCAGGGGGCTCAGAGCCTTTATTGGGGTCCGGGCGGTCCCGCTCAGCACGGGCACGAGCCTTTCCCGCCGGCCTCGTCCAGCCGCCGCGGGTGCGGCTGGGGCTGCGCCGGCCAGCGCTCCGTGTCCCGGCAGGGCAGCGAGCGCTGCGCCTTCAGCCGGCACACCAGGCACATGAAAATCGCGTCCACGTTCTGGCTTTCCTGTGGGTCCTTGGCCGAGGTCTCAAACAAAAGCATGTTGTGAGCGTCGGCGAACTTGAGGGCCAGGCTGGATGGCACCTGGATGAGGTCTTTCAAGTCACACTTGTTCCCCACGAGCACCCTGGGGACGAGCGCGGGCACCGCGTGCCCGTTGCACTCCTCGATCCACGTCTTGAGGTTGGTGAAGGAGCTCATCTTGGTCACGTCGTACACGAAGACCACGGCGTGCACGTTGCGGTAGTAGTGCTCCACCATGCTCTTCCGAAACCTCTCCTGGCCAGCTGTGTCCCACACTTGCACCTGGGAAATGAAGCAGACAAGAAAAGACGCTACAGAAGCGTGGAGCGTGGCCCTGGCAGGCCATGGGGAGGGCGTTGCAGGAGGACTTCCTGCTGTCCGGGTTTCAGAGGGTCCCAGCATGGTTTGGACTGGAAGGCAACTTAAAGATCATGCAGTCTACCCCCCTGCTGTGGGCAGGGACACGTTTCACTATCTCAGGTTGCTCCAAGGTTGCTCCCTGTCCAACCTGGCCTTGAACACCTCCAGGGATCCAGAGGCAGCCACAGCTTCTGTAGGCAACCTGTGCCAGGGCCTCCCCATCCTCACAGCCAAGAATTGCTTCACAATATCCAATCTAAACCTGCCCTCCTTCAGTTTAAGGCCATTGTCCTGTCCCTCCATCCCTCCATTGTCCCAAGTCCCTCTCTGGCTCTCTTGGAGTCCTTTCAGGCACTGGAAGGGGATCTAAGGTCTCCCCCAAGGCTTCTCTTCTCCAGGCTGAAAAACCGCTGCTCTCCCAGCCTGACTTTAGAAGGGCTGCAAAGAAGCCCTCAGAGCATCTTTGCAGCCTCCTCTGGACTCATTCCAACAGATCCATTTCTATTTGTGCACCAAATCCTACGCCATGAATGAGAATGCTGACAATTTCACAGAGGAAAAGAGAAGATGAGCAGGGAGAGCCACCCTTTATGTAGGAGTGCAGTGGGAGGGCCAGGAGCTCTGTGGGGAAGGGTGAACTCACGGGGGAGGACTAAAAACCAGAACATCATAGATGACATTGTAGGGGGTCTCTGCTACAGACCACCTGGCCAGGAAGAACAAGCAGATGAGGTGCTCTGTGGACAGTGAGCCTTGTGTTTGCAGCCCTGTTTCTCACACAGAACTTCAGCCACCCCAACATCTCATGGAAGGACAGCACAGCAGGGCACAGGCAATCCAGAACATTCCAGGACATCACTGATGACAACTTCCTAACCCAAGTGACAGAGATGCCAGAAGGCCTCTGGGCTGGATGAGCAGACAATGAGGTGGATTGGGAACTGGCTGAATGTCTGGGCCTGGACAGTGCTGGTCAGTGACACAAAGTCTGGATGAGCACTGGAACCAGCAGAGTGCCCCAGGGGTCAGTCTGGGTTCTCCTGGTAATGTTCTGTAGCCTGGAAGTGGCAATTTCCAAGATAATCCAAATTGCCCTGTACCCATGGAGACAGTACCTGCCTCCAGAGTCTTTTCAATTGAAAAATGCTGGGAAAGTGGAGCTGCTGCTCAGTCCTTTCAGGGCCAGTCTCTCCCAGGCAGAGCAAGAAAAGGAGGTTCCTTGTCCCACCTCTCACCTCCTCTCCAGGATACATATCCCAGGAAAAGGTGGGTTTGCTGCACCACCTCCCGCTCCTGCCCACTGGAGCTCAAATAATATCCAAAGGTAGAAAACATGGCAACATTTTCTGGATAGTGGCAGCAGACAGGCTCCATGCCAGCCTGCACCACAGCTCACACCAGCATGGCTCCGTGGGGCTGGACAGAGCTGGGGAGGGCAGGGAGGATGAGCACCTCTACAGAAGAGAGGGAAAAACATTCATGGACAGCCTAGAAGCACAGCTAAAGCTCTCACCCGCCAACACAAGGTCGGGTTTCATTGTGAGTTCAACTTTTGATCAGCCATCTGTCAGTACAGCAGTGATGTTTGTTCTTCCAGCACCAGCCTCAGGGGCTGCAGGTGCTGATCCCCACAGCTGTGCAGGCCAAGCTCCACCACAAACTCTGCTCCCACTTGGTTTCCTACCAATGCCAGATTTGCTCTGACACACCAACCAGAGCTCTTCAGGTCTGGGCTGATCATTCTTTACAGGTGTCACACCAGCCTTCATATGAAAATTCATCCTGCTGCAATCGCAGTTCCAATGTAGCTGGAGCAGGTTCCTGCACCGCTGCTGCCACAGCAGCCAAGCCTGCTGCCGCTGGCCTGTGTGACCTCTCAGTGTGGCTGCTGCCAGCCCACCGCCCTCTGCCCCCCAGACCCCCTGGCCGTGGCACAGACTCCTGTCCCCCATCCCACCACAGCTCTACCCCTCCGCCGGTCCAGTGTCCGGAGCTGGAGCCACCCCAATGCTGCGAGGATCCAGCTGTGCCCATCGCAAGGGTGGTGGTGACTCACCCCGAGCCCTGGCTTCTGATCTCTGCATGCTCAAGCCAACCCCAGAAATAGTGACAAGGCAGCAGGGACTGGTTCAGGGCCATCTCTGCAACACAGGCACGAGAATTCCTCCCTGGCCCTGTTCCCTCCCTCCAACTGGGATGAAAGGAAAAGCCCCCGGAGGGGTTTGGCACGAGGCAGGGATGGGGACCGGCTGCCATCGCTGCTGGGGCTGCTGCCGGCCAGATCAGGGCCGGTGCAGGGCCCACCGGGGACAGAGCGGGGCTCACGGGGATAGAGCGAGGCCCACTGGAACCGGTGTGGAACCCACCAGGGCCGGTGTCGGACCCACTGCGGCCTTAGCGGGTCCCCCCGGGGCCGGTGTCAGCCAGCCCGGAGCCGGCGCGGGGCCCACCTTGATGCGCTCCCCCTCGATCTCCACCGTCTTCTCGCGGAAGTCCACGCCGATGGTGGCCTCGGTCTTGCCGGGGAAGGTGCCCCCGCAGAAGCGGAAGGTCAGGCACGTCTTGCCCACATTGGAGTCTCCGATCACGATGATTTTGAAGATGCGGGTCTGTACGTAGGGCTCCAGCGCGGGGTCGGGGCCCGGCGGTCGCCCGCCGCCGCCGCCCGCCGCCATCCCTCCCGCACCGCTGCCGCCTCACCGGCTCATAGGGGCGCGTCGCCCCGCGGACCGGCACCGGCACAGCTCCGGATAGCGGCACCGGCACCGCTCGTCTCCGCCCCACACCCCGGCTACGGCACTGCTCGTCCCCGCCCCGCGGACCGGCACCGGCACAACACGGCTCCACCCCACGCACCGGCACCGGCGCAGCCCCGCCCCACACACGGCACTGCTACGGCACTGCACGGTCCCGCCCCGCGGACCGGCACCGGCACAACACGGCTCCACCCCACGCACCGGCACCGGCGCAGCCCCGCGTAGCGGCACCGGCGCAGCCCCGCCCCACACACGGGCTACGGCACTGCACGGTCCCGCCCCGCGGACCGGCACCGGCACAGTCCCACGTACCGGGACCGGCACCACACGGTTCCGCCCCCCGCAGCGGCACCGGCACCGGCACCGCGCGGCTCCGCCCTACGCTCCCGGCTCTGGCACCGGCACCGACCCGGCTCAGAGCTCCGGCCCCGGGCCAGCCCTGCGCCAAGCCACAGACCGGGGACCGAGTGCCTTCAGCCCGGGCCGGCGAGGGCATTCCCAGCGGAGCGGCAGCGACCGGCAGGGCTGCGGGCAGAGGGCCTGTCCCCTCCCGGAGGGAGCAAGAGACCGAGGGGCACAGCGAGGCGGGACCAAGCAGGGGGGGACACCAACACCCGCACGTTCCCAGTGCCAAGAGGTGCCAGCGGGATCACAACCGCCGGTGCCAGATGATCCTCTTCATGTCCAGCCGGGCAGCCACAGTCCCCGTGTGCCAGCATCAGAGACCAGGAAGGGGATGTGTCCCTCCTGCTCCAAGGAACAGGGCAGTGGGGAGCCAGCACCCACGGCACGAGGGCGCGGGGGCTGCACCGCACACAAGGATTGCAGAAGTGAGGGGAGCAGGAGACAATCTGCAGGAGGAGAGCCATGGCAGGAGGGGATGAGGGGACTCAGGTCAGCTGGAATGGGACAGCATCAGGCAGTGGCACAGCAACAGTGGCATGGGGACCGATGGGAACGTGGGGCAGAGCCCCAGGGGCTGCAATGCTCCTGCTCACACAGCCCAGGCGATCCCAAAAGAACCAGACCCTCAAAGATGGAAGATGACTCCTCCAATGCTAGCATTGATGGGACCTGCAGGAGCCAGAGGCTGGGAAGGATTTACCAGAGACCCCCAATGGTCTCTGGACTCCAGAGTGTCAGTGCTCATCTGCTTCCAGCAGCATGGACATGAAACAGTGTGCACTAAGACTTGCAGCAGGTGGAAAAGCCTCAGAAAGCTGAGTCTGATGAAACACATCCCCCCCTTTCCCATTCTGGTAATGTCTGCAGGTCCTGCACTGCTCAATGAGACACTGTCTGACCATGGCACTGTCCCGCTCTAGGAATAAAGAGCAGCCACACAGGATTGTCCCCATCGAGGCTCACTCAGACTAGTTTTGGCCCACAAAGGGAGCTCAGTTGAGAGACCCAATGGGCACCACGGCCCCACAGAACCATTTCTGACCACCCCCAGCTACTTCTGACCTGGCCAAACACCTGTGGACCAAAAGTGAGATGAGGACATTGCAGAACAACCCTTCATACATCTCCCTCTCCAAGGACAAAACACCAAGGAGACCCAGGACCAAGCCCATCTCTCCTCAGGGCTTGCTTGATCTTCCCTGCTCAGGCCAGTTTCCCACCCTCCCACACCACCATGGAAGGAAAGTGCTTTTAATAATGTTTTCCAGGAATTCCTGGAAGTTTTTATTCACAGAAGCTGTTTGTCAGGGACATGAGCTTCTTGCTTTCTCTTCTTCATAATTTCCAACTTGCCTAGCTTGTGGAACAAGATGCCAGTGTCAGGTCCGAGCTGCCTCCCCTCAAAAGGACATGGTTTTCCATCATAGCGTGCCAGGAATGTCAGACCAGAGAGACCCCTCTCTCCTGGCCTGACAGCCAGCCGGGACAGCAGTTTGTCTGCCATGAGTGGCACCACAGGCTGCAGGAGCGTCCCGTACACGCGCAGGCACTCCAGCGTGACGTGGAGGATGGTGTCCAGCCAGAGCTGCTCTGCAGCATCCTTTCGGTCAAGTTTCCAAGGCCTGTGCCTCTGGAAGAAGCCATTGGTCTGCCTCACACACTGGGCAATGCATTCCAAAGCCTTGTAGATCTGGAAGCCTTCGAAATAACTGTCCACCTGCGCAGGCAGGGAGGCCACTGCTGCCACAAGCTTGTAGTCCTCAGCACACGCCCTGCCTGTGCCTCTTGCCTCTCTGGAATCCAGGAGCTTTGGGAAAAAGGGCTCTGAGAAGCATGGGTAGGTGTTGCTGGGGTTAATGCTGGGGGCTGTTGAGCGATTCAGCAGCCCCCCGAGCGCATCTGCCAGCTCTGAATTCACCAACTTCACCACCTTCTCATCATAGTAGTCACAATCCCTCTCTGGGACGCCCTGCCGCAGCAGGAAGTACCGGAACCCATCCACGCCGTACTGCCCCATGCACACGCTGGGGTCCACCACATTGCCCAGGCTCTTGGACATCTTCTGGCCCCGCACAGTCCAGTGGGAGTGCACCAGGATGCGCTCGGGGGGCTCCAGCCCTGCTGCCAGCAGCAGCGCCGGCCAGTACAGCGCATGGAACTTGAGGATGTCCTTGCCCACAACGTGGTGCACGGCTGGCCACCACGCACCGTGGCTCTCAGGATACCCCACCACGCTCAGGTAGTTCACCAGGGCATCCACCCAGACGTAGATGGTCTGTGTGGGGTCACTGGGCACGGGGATGCCCCACTGCAGCCGGTTTCGCTCGCGGGACACCGACAAGTCTGGCAAGTCCTCGTCCAGCCAGCGGAGCACGCACTGGTAGAAAGGGTCAGGAAAAATGGCACGTGGGTTGTCCCGAAGCCAGTTCTGCAAGGGATTCCGAAATGCTGAGAGCCTGAACATGTAATTCTCCTCCTTGGTCCAGTGCACCTGGGACAGCAGGAGAGGAAAGGATTATGGCCCCAAGAACAGGCTGACAATTTGCACACACCCTTCTCAGCATGGGGCTGTTGCACACTCCCGTGTCTGGGTGTCCTCTCATGCCATGGGAAGCTGTCAGCACCTCTCCATGACTAGAAGCAACCTTCTTACCCAAGATACTGCCTCCTTGGGATCCCCAGGAACACACCTGAGGACTCAGGCACCTGGGATGGTTCAGCATCCTGCTTCTAAAAACACTTGTAAGCTTGGGAAGGAACACCTTTCCACCTGTCAGGCTGATGTGACATCAGAAAGGAGTTAGGGAGATGAGAATGCACCTTCTTAACAACATAGTTTTGCAATAATAGTGGAAAATCATGAAAAGACAAAATAACACTAAATCCTGCCCTACTGCTACTCCCGGTGCCTGCCTTTGCTCTCCTAGGGCCATACTCTTTTTCCTCAGTTTATGCTTTAATGCGTCTAAGTCACTAACTTTGTTTGCTTACAGCACTGACAGCACTTCTCCCCCACAGTTAAATCCATTAAATGACACATTTAGCTAAACCAGTGAAAACGTGGTGGGTGGATGTGGTACGAGTGAGCTGTGTAAGGCACTCAGGGATCCATGGCTGGGTCAGCAATCTTGCAGTGCACAAGGAAGACCTGAAGAGCATCATCAAAGACAAGCTGTACATCCTCAGCTCCAGGCTCCATCGGATGCCAGAACCCACTCACTCACTCACTCACTCACCAGAAGTCTGGGGTTTATGGCATCTGCAAATTCGTCCTTTTCCTTCACAAAATTCCCAAGGAACAAACTGCCCAACTGCCTCTTTCAAGTTGGAAATAAACCCCCCCATTCCTTCTCACCACACTGCAAGAGCTTCTCTGCTCCATGCACAGTCCTGTTTCCTTGGACAGTTCAACACATAGGCGAGGCCAGGAACTGTTCTCAGGGTATTCTTGACTTTAAAGTCTGCTGATGGTTTTAAGTCTAAAGAACGATTACTTTGCCTGGAAATTTATCTTTTCCCCAATTATCTTAGGTGCTTTCTCAAGAATTACTATTTGCCAATATAGCCTTTTCTGTGTGGACCAACACTCCCACATCCCAGCCTCATACAAATAGCACAGCATAACCTGTGCTGAGCTCTGAGCAGGATTATCTGTAGTTGCTGGATTAAATCATGTAACTCCACACCTTCCAAGAAAACAGTGGCACAGAGATGCTTGGGAAGGTACTACACTCCTGGGTATGCCCATTCTGGCTGACCACAGGCAGGTGATGTTACAGTGCTTTAGGCAGGGCCAAAACCCATTTAGGAGATTGGTGAGCGTCCAAAGGCCAAACTGAACTCTCACAAAACAGGTCTGAAAGTCGGAGCCCCTCAGTGAAATACACCCTTATCCTCCTGTTCAGCTTCTGTCGTCACTCCTGTAGAACACCATTCCCAGGACAACAGCCTGTGGACTCAGAAGGGGCTGAATCCTTCCTGTTGCACATAGCTGCAATGTGCAATGTGCACCTGCCAGGTGGGGTCTGCCCACTCTCTGACACTCCACTGAAATACAGGTGAGTCTCAGCCAACACAAATTAATAAATGGCTACGGGAAGCATTGAACACCCCAAATCTGGCAAGAGCAGCGCAGCAGGTGAGCACGCAGCGCTCCTGCAGCCTGTTACCTCGTGGCCGGTCTCCAAGGACACCTTGCAGGGGCGGCCCTGGGCGTCTGTGCCCTCGGCCAGCTGGCTCTCGGGCAGGAAGCTCTCCTCGGGCGTGCAGTACCAGCCCTCGTAGGAGCCCTTGTAGAGCACCCCTCCATCGCGGAGGGCACCCCAGAAGTGCCTCACGGCTCGCTGGTGCCGGGGCTCGCTGGTGCGCGTGAAGTCGGTGTAGGCGACGCCGGCCTGGGTCAGGGCCTGGCGGAAGAGCCCCGAGACCCGCTCGCAGAGCTCCGCCGGCGACGTCCCCGCCGCGGCCGCGGCCTGCTGGATCTTCAGCCCGTGCTCGTCCGTCCCTGAAACGGAGAGAGGCCGCGGGGCCGTGGGGAGAGGCCGGAGCCCGCGGCCCCGCGGGGACACAGGGGTCTGGGGACACGGGGAGGGGGGTCAGCCCCGGCAGAAGGGGTCATCCCGGGGGAGGGGTGCGGACCGGGGGTCTCGCTGACCCGTGCAGAGCCGCGCCGGGCCGGCGGCGCGCAGGCGGCGGTGGCGGAGCAGCGCGTCGGCCAGCAGCGCCGAGTAGAGGTGCCCGATGTGCGGCGGCCCGTTCGCGTAGAAGATGGGGGTGGACAGCAGCAGGCGGCGGCCGGGCCCGGTGGCGGCGGCGCGGCGGAGCGGGCGCGGGAGGCGGCGGGGCGG